AGTAGGCACCGTCAGTTTCAATTTTATTTAACAATGAACAAAATAACTTCATTGTTTCAAAGTCCTCCCCCACTCCCTTCTTTTGAAGTTATGTCTCCCCCCCTCCCTTCTTTTGAAGTTATGTCAAGTGATGTATATGACATTATAAGTTTGCATTCCATGAACCCCATCCGTTTGCTGGATGAATATACCCGTGTCGGGATTTTCGACAAAATTAATTAAGCTAAAAAAATATGTTTACGTATCCTGTCTTGTTGAGTGTTAGTACACTTTTCCCATTCAATCTGTTCATTTGTTAATATTGATTATGAATTTCAGTTTAGGTAAATGGTTTTCTACCTGTCTTATATGTGTACTTGTGAATGCAGAAAGACTTAGATCGAATGCAGCTTCCTGAAATGATTCGCTGGCGTATCCAAACTGCAATGCCAGTGGTTGTCCCTTCTGTTCGGTGCCTTTTCTCTTGCCAACCACCACCTGTTCCAGATACTGGTTTGGCTGTTCTTCAACCCAGCATATCGGTTTCTGGGTTGCATGCTGGAAACTCAAACCCACCTCAGAGAAATCAGGCTCCTCTTGCGCGAACAGTAACTAACATACCAGGGAAATTTAAACCATTGCCATCACAAGATTATGATATGGATATTGACCCATGGACGCTGCTGGAAGATGGTGCAGGATCAGGCCCATCTTCAAGTAGCAGTGCTTTGATAGGCAGTGCGGACCATGGCAATCTTCGAGCATCTAGCTGGCTCAAGGGGGCTGTGAGGGTGAGACGAAAGGATCTCACATACATTGGTGCTGTGGATGATGACAGCTGAGTTCAGAAGGAAACTTTGCTGTTGATTTTTCTGGAGTGAGAACCCCCTCAGCAGGTAACTTAATGTTTACATTCATTGTGCATAATTGGTATAAGGATCAACGTGTTGTGCGGGTCCTTTTCTTTGATGATCGAGAAGCTGTTGAGAGGGAAATTTTTTTGGGGGGACGCACAAGTTCCTTTTGGAAAAAATTTACACACGGGTCCTTTTGGAAGAAATTTGAAGATGTTATGGAGCCCATAGTATCGGGTCTTGTGTTGCTTGACTACCAACCCTTCGATCACACCCCACCCCACCACCCCCCCCAACACATCCAAATGTGCACCTTCGCATGCTGTTCGGAGGGCAGTTGTATATATAGAGATGATTTGTTCACTTTACCAATTGATCTGAGTAAGATATCTGCAGAATGATATGTAGCTGTTCTTTTTTCTCCTTATAATCAATCTCTACGTTCTACTCTCTCTCTCTCTCTCTCTCTCTCTCTCTCTCTCCCCCCACCCAAACATACACATGGGCCTGCACAAACAAAAAATTCGCATATTTCATAATTGCATATTTATAGTCTTATTTCATATATGTGCTTGTATTGATTGTTATGGGCACATTTACATTTATTCTGCTGTCTGAAAAATGGTCCTTTCCTGGTGTACTGTCTTTTAAGATGGGTATGATTTGTTATAGAACAAGGCATACTGATAGATGTTAGTAGTGGAATGGAGAGCACCACAATGTCAGAAAAACACAAACCTCACCGACTCTAGTTTTTCGGTCATGCAGTACTAAATAAGCTTTAGGAATGGTTTAAGGCTCGTTTGGATGTCTGGACCATGTCTAATCTGGTCAGATTGCTTCTAGTTTACTTGGGATTATCAGGAAGATTGATTCTTCAGTTTCAGTTGGTAGTGGCCGTGCGTTGAATTCACGTTCTCTTTCAATTTTACTAGCCTCCCTGCACGTGTGAGCGCGTGCGGAAGACTCTTTTATAATGACGTCGTTTTACGCGCAACTTGTATAATTTAAATGTATTTATCTAAGTGGATTTGAAAAGTCAATTAAACAATAAAAGAATCAATATATTTGATGGAAGCAAAATATCTTTGTACACAACATATCTTGTGAAGACTCCTTCATGACCTTGTAATTCTCCTTTCTTCATCAATATTTTTGTTGAAGACGACGATACTCCCCTTGATAAAGCCATGTGCAATTGTCTATGACTGAAGACGTGGTATGGTAGATAAATACCCATATTTGGTAATGTCTGTCCTTGTGAAGATCCATAAATATAAATGAAACCCCAAATGTTGAAATCCAGAATGGAGTTATCTTTACATCGTCAATCATGGGCAAACAAAAATTCCAAACTTAGGATCTTTTGAAAATTCGTTCTCTCCCAACTATGGACTGGAAGTCTGGAAGCTGAACACACGGATTGTGGGGTCCCAAATGTACTGTACCTTTACGACCAAATCCTGCAATGAGAATGTCGTTTCTGCAAGCGGTGACAATGATCAATATAGTCCAAAAAAAATCTAAAATACCAAATGTGGCATTTAATATAAAATTAAGAAATCTTGAGCCACGTCCTATCTTTATATCAACCATTACTCTGTCTAAACCCGAAGCAAATTACAATTTGGTAGGGTTCAGTTCAGTATGCAAGGGTGTGCCAAAGTTGTACCAAACTTTTCAGAATTGGTTTTGTTTTGGTACAAAACAGTATGGATCCGGTTTTTTAAAAGATGCATACTGATTAGGACATGACAGTTTTGGCATGTCACGATACGAGGGTGAGCTTGACATGCCATGCATTTTTCTAACATTTTGACACACTAATCCTCACATCGTGACACGCGAAAACATTGCTATTAGCCTTGACACGAGCCTCGCTTCTAAATTATTTTGAAATAGTAGGCAAAGTGTTGGCAAAATGCATGAAAAATAAAAAAGATATAAGGAGTAAACCCCGAAGCCTTAAATTATTATTATTTTTAAAATTACTATAACATAGTAGTCAATTATATATGAAGGGTTCTTACTGGTAAGAATATGTTAACTGATTGAGCTGAAAATTTACAAAGGTTATTACCGGTAAGAACGCTTGTATATTTTCAGCTCAACTAATGAGCATGTTCTCACTGGTAGGAACATGTGTAAATTTTCAACTCTACTAATGAACGTGTTCTTACCGACATGTTCATATATGACTACAATCCAGTTTTGTACTAATTTCTATTTAGGCCTCGGGGTCTCCTCTTTCCTAGATATTTTTTTTAATTTTTTTTTAATTCAATACAAAAAGTGTTAGAAAAATTCATGTCATAACAAGCCTCGTGAGTTGTCGCCAGAATGCAGGGAATGACTTGTCTTGACACGCTAACCCTCCCATCGTGGCACGTCATAACAAACATCGCAAATTATCAACAAAATGCATGGCGTGTCATGACATGCATTCTAACGACAATTCGCGACTCTTGTCATATTGGGACCAACAACGATGTTTTGGCATGCCACAATGCGAAGGTTAGTGTGTCATGCCATGCATTTTTCTAACACTTTGACACACTAACCTCACATTGTGGCACGCCAAAACATCGTTGTTGACATGCGATGACATGTCACATGTCTTGACAAGCCATGACTTGTCTTGACACTCTAACCCTCCCATTGTGGCACGCCATAACGAGCCTCGCAAATTTTCAACAGAATGCATGGCGTGTCATGACATGCATTCTGTCGACAATTCGCAATGCTTGTCATGTTGGGGCCAACATTGATGTTTTTGCGTGCCACGATACGAGGGTTAGTGTGTCATGCCATGCATTTTTCTAACACTTTGACACACTAACCTCACGTTGTGGCATGCAAAAACATCATTGTTGACATGCGATGACATGTCACATGTCTTGACAAGCCATGACTTGTCTTGACATGCTAACCCTCCCATCGTGGCACTCCATAACAAGCCTCGCGAATTTTTGACAAAATGCATGGCGTGTCATGACATGCATTATGCTGACAATTCGCAATGCTTGTCATGTTGGGGCCAACATTGATGTTTTAGCATGCCACGATGTGAGGATTAGCGTGACATGCCATGCATATTTCTAACTATTTGACACGATAACCCTCGCATCATGGAACGCCAAAACATTGTTGTTGGCATGCAATGACATGTCATGGCATGCATTTTGCCTATGTTTTGTGTGCTTGGCATGTGATGGGAATGCCATTGGATCAGGATGCCGTGACATGCATTGCCAATATCTAAATTATTCTAAAATAGTAGGTAAAGTGTTGGCAAAATGTTGGCGTGCCATGAGCGAGTGTTGGCATAACCATGACTTGTCTTGATACGCTAATCCTTACATCGTGGCACGCCATAACAAGCGTTGCAAAGTGTTGACAAAATGCATGGCGTGCCATGACATGCATTCTGCCACCAATTCGTGATGCTTGTCGTGTTGAGGTTGACAACGATGTTTTGGTGTGCCACGATACAAGGGTGAGCGTGTGATGCAATGCATTTTTCTAATGCTTTGACACACTAATTCCGACATCGTGGTACGCGAAAACATCGCTATTAGCCCCGATACTAGCCTCGTTTCTAAATTATTCCGAAATGACAGGCAAAGTGTTGGCAAATTACATGTAAAAAAAAAAGATCTAGGAAAGAGTAGACCCCGGAGCCTTAAATTGTTTTTTTGGAAATTACTACAACATAGTAGGCAATTATATATGAAGGGTTCTTACCGGTAAGAACACGTTTACTGATTAAGCTGAAAATTTACAAATGTTATTATCGATAAGAACGCTGGTATATTTCCAGCTTAACTAATGAACATGTCCTCACCGGTAAGAACATGTGTAAATTTTCAGCTCTACTAATGAACATGTTCTTACTGGTAAGAACACATTCATATATGACTAGTGTCCTGTTTTGTATAAATTTCTAAAAAACTAATTTTAGGCCCCGGGGTCTACTCTTTCCTAGATCATTTTTTTTTATTATTCCAAAATTGTAGGTAAAGTGTTAGAAAAGTGCATGTCAAACATAACAAGCCTCGTGAGTTGTCGCCAGAATGCATGGCATGTCTTGACACGCTAATCCTCCCATCATGCAAGCTTCATGAAATAGAGGATTTCAGATACATAGAAATTCTACAAAATTTAAAATTTGTTTGATTTAAAACGTAGAATGGGAAACATTAATTTTTTTTTTGTTTTGTTTAGTACAACGGTATATTTTACACTAAGGGAATGGGTAAGTTCAGCTACGCCGTACAATAGGCAACCTAATTTGATATCAAATTCGCCATCCACGAGATTCGAACCTAAAACCTCTCACTCACAAGTAAAGAGGAATACCACCAGACCGTAGTACTGAGTGGCGAGAAACACTAAAAATTAGCTTAATATAAGTAATTAAGCAGCCAAGTTAAATTGTTTCAAAATTTGTGGAATCAAACTGGATTTGAAAAGAATGCTCGAACTCAGTGGCATTGCAGTCTCTTTATTTGTCTTGGTTTCTCGCGGATCTGTCAACACAAATTACATCTTCAATCCAAGCAACAATGTTGAATGCCAAACTCTCCAACACTCTTGAGTAGCTCTCTAGCACTGCCTGCCCCACATCCTGCAAAAACGCCGATATGAAAACACTTGGATCAATTAGTCAAAATTGCACAGGTGCTCGAAGGAATCGTGTTTTACTCGTTTTCTAACAAGATATTGTCATGTCTGTCACGTTATTTGTTGAACGAATTTAGCACCTGTCGAAAATGTTCGTGTGATTCATATCGGTTAGTAACTTAGTAGTGACAGTTGAATGTGCTTACCCTATTGCATTGGATCTTGCATGTGTCCAAGGATGTCTGAGAGAGCTCAGGATATCTCTCCTTCAAACAGAGCAGCAAGCACTCGGCTCTCTCTGCCAAAACATAATTCTTGTCATTCCAGTCTGTTTCCGACATCAGATCTTTCACCATGATCCAGGAAGATTTTGAGTTGCTCATGCACGCTTTACGCCTCCACGTGTACATCGAGGCTTCTACCCTATCAGCAAGATCAAGTGCTTCCAGTTCAGTTGCTATGTCGAGGCAGTCCAGAAGATGGTCTGGGGAGAACTTGTCCATGGTGCACATGTAGCGGTATATGGAGTCTCCCAGACAAGCTTTTCCGCTCTGAGAAAAATTGTTTTGTAGAAGAATAAAACCAAGTTAGATAAAACCTACTATTTTACAAGAAACAAAACGAACCAATGTAGAAGGGAAGTGATTTCCGTGTACTCGTTTTCTCCCCAGCGTACTCGTATCCATTTTTAGCCTTTGAATTGTACAATCAAAAGAAAATCGAGGGAAAAAATAAACGTGGGTGTGCGGAAGGAGAAAAAAAATGTGCGGATATCATTTCCCTAGCTTTCCAGCATTAAATGGTTGCGATTCTTGCAATCTTATTCTTATAAACCATAGCTATCTAGCAAGTTTGTAGAATTTCATTAGGATCAACTATAGGATTAAATCGACCCCAAACTTCAAGTTAAAAGGGTTCAGGGTTCAAATTTGACCACAACAAAATTTACGTTGGTTGATTGAGGACTTACCTTCGGAAGAGTTGACATGTATGAGTCTGGGATTTCCATCTCGGCAAGAATACTGCTGTTGATTGCCATGGCTGCTTTATGAATTTGATTACAACTGTCGCGTTTGTGTTTCAAATGCTTCCTTGCCTTCTCAGACAGGCCTCCCGGAGGAACGCATGGAATAGGCAACCACCATTTCTCCTCATTCCGCTGAACAACCACCCTACGAAAAGATCCTGTTCGCGTTGAATTTGATGACATGCTTCCTTTTTCTGCATACCAGAATTCTGTATCCTGGAAACTATCTAGTACTTCCTGCCAAAAGAAAAGAAAGTCATGAACTTTCAGCCCTTGATTGAAAAAGACTTGCTCTGTTTTGAGAAAAATATGCGATTTCTTATCACACAAGGCAAGTCTTACAATGAGCATTGCATCAAGTTTTTGCAAAGCTGGAAGATTGACATAAAGATCCGATCTTGGCCTGCTTTCCATCAACTGAAAGACCAACACACAAAATGTTATGAACAAGCAAAGATAGCCGAACGTGATCCAACGAAAGTCGGGTTCTTGACAATTACCTCCACTTGTGCCCCCTCTTGTAAGTTTTGTGATATGGGGATGAGTTCTACCATGTAATCACAGACTGATAAAAGACAGTTCATCTCCCTCTTCCACATTGCTTTCTTCTCAGGATTCAATGGCTCTAGCCTCAAGTTTTGTCCAAACACCGTGGCTGCAGAAAATCCAAAAAGTTGACTCATTGAGATTGAAATCGAAAAAATGAACATATTAAGTTCTTATTCATCTTCAAAATTTGCAGATAGAGAGTTACCATAAAGGTTGGTTATCGAATTTGAGATCGTGACCGCGGTGCATACACCTTTCCCACTTCCTGACATGTCTTCACCCAACAAGAGTTTTGCAAATCTTTCTTTCATCATCTCAAGCTCTGCCAAATTGCATATTCCAATCACTTATTAGTGCTTTTAAATTGTTTTATGGTGGGGAAGTGATTTCCACACGCTTTTTTTCTTCTTCTGTGCATACTTCTGTCTATTTCTATCCCTTGATTTCCCTTTGGATTAATCCATCCAAAGGCCGGAAAAAAGGAAGGTACGCAGAAGGAAAAGGGCGTGCAGAAATGATTTCCCTCCCCTTCATAAACATAACTGAAACCCACCTGAATCAACAGCGTTGTGATCTTCAAGCTTATCATCGGAAGCATTCGTATTGTACTGCTTCATTCCAAGTCTGGTAAGAGACACCGGGTTGGATTTTACATTTGGGTAGAACCAAGGAGAAGCTTCACCAGAGTAACTGCTGTCATCCACAGACTCAGAGTAAGCCGAGGTCTCTGAATTTGTCCGGTGGTACATGAAAGAATTGCCACTTGTTGAAGTTTCTGTGAGCGAATGATCAGTTTGATCCACAGAAGAAGGTGAAGGCTGGTAACCAAGATCATAGTGTTCATCATAGCTTGGTGAATTGTCCATTGCAGCTCCAAAACTTGAGGTCCAAGTCTAAAATCACAAAAACCTGCACAGAATTTAATCATTTAAATGTAACAATTTGGGTTAGTTGTAGGACTCACAGTCCAAAAATAAGACCTGGGATTTGGTTTATATTCTACAATTTTGAATTAGAAATAAAAATGTAAAAAAGAAAGATGAAAAAAGGTATGTATCTTATGCTTTGAAACAAAAGCAAAAGGGGTTTGAGATAGGTTTTTTGTTAGGAGGACCAAAAATAAATTATTGACTGATATGCAGCTAAAATTTAAAGCAAAAAAGCAATCTTGGAGGGATTTTTTGGGGTGAAACCAACTGAAATTTGAAAATTATTGAAAAGCAAACGGCTGATTGAAAAAAGAAAACGGTGTAACATTCTTTCTTTTTACCTTTTAATGCATGGATTTGAATTTGAACTGTTGAAGTTGGCTGAAGACCGTTTGAAATACTTCCCTCCTCCTTAGCATTTGCCTTTGATCTTCCAACACTCTTTTTTCCCTTTCTAAAAGGAAAGTTTTCCCAGAAAAATGAAGTGCTCACATCACCATGATCGTGGAAAATGTAACATGCTAGCCGTCCGATCGTCGAGCTCTTGAGTCATGATATTAAACAGCACAAACCCAGAAGCAAAAATGGTTGAATTTCAGACAGGTGGACTGCATCTTAGTTGGACATGAACATCATGTACATATGGCTCTGCAGGGTTATATTCATGAATCTCTGAGTATGTGAAATATAATAACGTTTAGAAGGAATAATAAATAATAATTTGGAAACAGTTTTGCAGATTAAATTAAGAAATAATAATTTAGTTTTAATATGGATGCATATACGTGTTGTGTATGTTAAGATTTGTATTGACTAATCAATATTTTCTTCTATAAGTGCTTTTGAATGAGACGTAACCAAATTTATGGGTCACATTTGTTAATTGTGCTTAATTATCTCCATCAAGTTGGCTAACTTTGATATCTCTGTCGAGCCTCCATTACCTCCCTCAACCTTAATCAACTTTCCTCATGCCATAATCACCTCCATCTACCTTGTTTTTGGTTCTCTGATTTTTAGTCTTGCAGTTTCTTTTTGGTGGTGTGCTACGTACACCAAATTCATGCACTCACCAAATGACGTGGCACGTTTTACACCTTATAAATTTTGTTGCAATTATTAATCAAATTCCAATTTAAATTGAAGTAAAGATTTGATTGATGCAATATCATTTGGTGCAAAAATTTGGTATGCCGAGCTAGCATTATTCTTGTTGTGGTCGATTTTCTAAAGGAGAGAGAGGGTGAGAGTGGTGAGAAATTGTAGAATGCTTAGGGATTGTGTGATTCTCCCTATGTCGGGGGTTTATTTATCGTAAACCAAGAGTATATCGTAAAGTCTAAAAAGAAAAAAAGAACTCTACTTATTCATCAAATGAATTTCTCTTGATTTCCTTGGTGGGCTAATTTTGAGAAGAAACGAAAATTCCATAGCTATTATGTCTTTGGACCTAAAAATAAAAATAAAAAATAAAAAAAGTAAAATAGAACATGGGGATCTTAGTTGTAAGTTTGTGAAATTTAATATGACATATTTCAGTTAGCCTGGTCGGAGGTTAGATTAGAAAGAACATGTACAAGCTTTATATTAATCTCTTTCTAAATTTGTAATTTGTATTATTATTGGACCAACCGAAAAAAGAAGACTTGAATATTGAAAGCAAAATTTTGCTTCTGAAAGTGTTGTATGGACGTGCCCTCCCATAATCCATTCTTCGTGCTTTGGATGCGTGAGAAGGTTGACATACAGTAATTAATACTAGGGGATGTATCATAATTATATTTAAGGTCAAACGTTTTTTTATTCCCTCAATTGATCAATTCATGAATCTGACTCTCTATGTTGATGTTGTGCTCGTCTTGCCTGCATTATTGTTGCCTTTTTTTTTTTTTTTTGACAAACGATAGTTTAGTGGATTAAATTGTTAGTTATTAGAGGAAAGAGGATCGGTAGGATCGAACTCGTCCTAAAGTGTATAGATATCATTACGTTCGGCCATTCCGATAAAATGTCATCTGCTTGTTGCCTATATACTTGAAACCAGTAAATTCGGCCTACTCCGCATTAAAATCTCATGATATCCCAATCGTTTTATGATTTCTTTGAGACTTGGTTTCTTAATTCTAGCCTTTGAAGCCTTGAGAGATAGATAGAATAAAAATTGTCAGGCGCCGGGTGGGAAATGCTAAGTATAACGAATTGTTATTTGAATCATAACAAAATGATAAAATTAGGGGAGAAGGAATGAGAAGCACTTCTACTTTTGCTCCTCCTTTTTTTGTTTTCCTTTTTCTAGTCTAGTGTGGTGAATAATAGTCCATTTTTGTTGACTTAGTCTTTATCTAATTTTTTATTTTGTTAGATAAAACGATAGAAATTTTTTTTGATCAAAAGAGAAATATAATCGTCTGGGATAACATTGCACATTAAATTTAGAGGTTCCTCAAACTAATAAAACTCAAAATCATGAAATAAAGCCAATAGATGAAATACGAAGATTCTTCAAACCAATAAAACTCAAAATCATGACATAAAGCCAATCTAGCTATTCTGTGTGCCACCATCCACGTCGGACATGTGCCCCTTGTTCAACAATTATTCAGATGTGGAGTAACCCAACAATTTATAAGCACACTCAAGGTTTCTCTTTCTCTCATGTGAGATTGATACTCTTAACACACCCTTCACGTGTGGTGAGTTTTCAAGCCTAGCATGTGGACAACACAAATTTGGTGGTGGAGCACCTGTGACCGTTGGATTTCACACGCATGACAACCTGCTCTGATACCATGAAGAAAGTTAAGATTCCATCATAAAACTAATTAGTAATATGGAGAGTAGCACAACTATTTATAAGCATATGCAAATCTCTCATTTCCCTGATGTGACATTGATACTCTCAACATACGCTTATTCACGGTGGCACTCATGAGTTAAAATTTTGAGAATTAGTAGGTGTTTTTGGGTAGTGTAGGTATGGCAAAAGATTGGGCTTAGTTTTTATGATATGGTTTTATAGTTGTTAGTTCCGCTTTTGTACGTGTTAGATTTGCTTTTATGCGATTGTCTCTCATCTGAGTCTCATATATAGTAAAGATGGTGTGATTATCCTGATACTACTCGTAGTTTTGTTGATGGTTTTGCGTGCATAGCCTCTATTATAGCGGTTACTATTGGCTTCTTTTGCAGTTTATTTTCAAAGTCAACAATACTTGTATTTAAAGAATGTTCCCTTGCTAGTTTTATTTGGTGATATTATGTGCAAAATCTATCATATGGTGAGTTATAAATTGATTGAATTTCTAGTTGCTAGGATCGAACATCTTTAGGCTTTTTGGATGTGACTTGCTTTCCTTAACTACTTCTTTGTGCTCGTCAAGGCCACATATCCACCAGTACGGTGACTATTACCTTCATCAAGTTGGCCTTATTTTTCGCTTTTGAGTCTTTGATTTAAAGACTCTCAAATTTAGTCCATGATGCCTTATTTTAAGTTTATACATTGTATTAATGTTATAATAGTTATTGTTTTAACTCAAAAATATGTAATCATTTATGTAAATATTCACCAAAATCTCTGGCCCTTTATGATTTAGGTTTCAAGTGTATGCATATCTATATGTATGGTTTCTTAATCTTGAAGATGTATCATATGTTATTATCAGACTAACAATTATCACCCAAGTTAATTATAATTCTAGTGATAAAATATTTGCAATTTGTATTGACGGATTTTTTTTAAGTGTGAAGATCACATCGTTTCGTCATTTTCGTTTCTTATTAAAACAAACAATGAATTGTTTTGAAGTATAACATGCCAATATAAAGAAAAAGAATACTGATTCCAATACATATTATACTCATGATGTGATTCCCTAAGTATGTTTATTTTTAGAATCCGTTCTGTGACAAAACAAGAACCTCCACCATAAAATTCTCCAGAAGTTGGCAATGCTCCTACAGATTGATCCTCTTGGTTTAGTCTTGTCATCTGCCGAGAATTCCCTTGTCTCTACCACATGCGATTCTTTCTGCATGCATATATAGTACAATCATCATGCAACATGTCTAGCATTGCAAAAAGAAGTTGACAAAGAAACTTGAGAAATGTTTTCTTGTTGGTTAACGTACTTAACAGTCTAACATGTTATGTGTGTTGCTGGACTCAATTAGAATCCTCAATTATAAAATCTTGTTTGATTGCATGATTTATTAATTTGTCAACAATGTAACTATATACGTACATTTGCAGTAAATCGAAATCCAATTTTTATCTCTCCTTTATAGGTGTCATCTTCAAGCACCACATTGTATGGAGCTGGTTTTAGTTCAATAAATCCTCTGTCCTTTCCCTCAGTAACTATCCCACCAAGATGAATCCTGCATGGCAGAAATTAAAGCTCGTTGTTGAGAAAAAGAAAAGATTAATGATTAATTAGCAGAAAATGAGATTTAGGAATAACGTGCACATAATTTAGTTTACGGTAAAAACGAGAGATATTAAGGCATTTAAGTACATGGTTTCACCAACAAATCCAGCATCTGTGAATAATTCAGTGTCCATAATTCTGAGTTTGAGATGAGTCAACTTTTTCCAATTTGATAAGGGGAATTCAAACTGTGAATTTTTCATTCCAGCTAACTCTTTCATCTTCATCTGCATATGCATCACAGAACCCAATTTAATTAATTAGCTAAGGAATGCTGTATGTATATGTATATCGGCATATTTGTCGATTTGCCCTTGACCTTGTATAGAGCTGTCAATTTCTCCCGTGAACTTTAATTTTAGCCGATTACCCCTTTGAACTTTTATAGTTAGCCAATTTCCCTTTTAACTTTAATTTTAGTTGATTACCTCCTAAATTTTTATAAATAGCCAATTTCCCCCCTAACATTAAATTTTAAAAATTCTCATCCATCTTGATCACGAAAACAACACATGACAACTGTATGAGGGCAAAAAGGATGAAAAATTGAATGAAAGTTTTTAAAATCTAAAGCCAAGTGGGTAATTGACTATTTATAAAAGTTCAGAGAGGTAATTGGTTAACGTTAAAGTTCAAGATAAAAATTGGCTAATTAAAAAAGTTCAATAAGTAATAGGCTAAAATTAAAGTTCAAAGGGAAATTGGCAGCTGCATACAAGTTCAGAAGCAAATCAATAAATACCTCCTATGTATATATAGCATATATAATAATCCAAATGGGAGTCCAGAGAAGAACAAATTTAAGAACACCTGATGATTGCTTGCTTCTGTATTCTTGATTTCCACACTTTATGATCACGTAGTAGGATGGTCTACCTGTAACAGTAATTTTGGAATTTTCGATTTAATCCTAAATCAACCAATACCAAGTGTCCACAAAGGGACACTTTAACAGTAATTGAGCGTAATTTGTCTAACGCGCTCAAATATTAGCTCAAATATTAGTTCGAGAATATTTTATTTTTTTACATAGATTTCCTAGTGCGCGTAGTGTTGATTTGTAGTAAACATAAGTGAAATCTACTGTTGTGTGATAATCCCCGCATGAATTTTACTAAATCTTAGCGCGTACAAAATCTACAGGAAAATTGCTCCTTTCGAGAAGGATGGAGAGTTTAAAATCATATAACCATGGCTTACCAAGAAGATTTGTGTGCCTAATGTCTTCAGCATCAACAAGAAGCACTTCAAGGGTTCCTCCTTTCATGGATGGCAGCATGTGGGTATTCACTCATATTTCACATAAAATACTTGTATGGTATATATACTGTTGTAATATAATTAGAAAATGAAACTAATGGTGCATGGCAGGTGCACTAATTAATTGGACGTTTAAAGGACTAAGTCTGAGCGTTTAAAGAAGCCATTCATAAACGTTTCGTGTCATTGAATTAAAACGACATGTTTTTTTTTTCTTCTGGTATTAATGTTAAAAAAAAAACTGTTAAAAGAGCGAATTGTAGCCGTATTTGTTTTCACTTAGTTAGTTGAATGAGGTCTTATTTAACTTTTATAAATAATGAAGACGATATATATTTTTGATGTGTTTATTTCCTCCAATGTAACAACAAACAAAACTTTGAACCATGCAATTTTGTACAAAGAGCTTGTAACTCAAGTAATTAAGAGCGTCTATTCCTACCCTTGAAATGTTTGGTTTGATTTCTCTCTATCAAATCTGATGGGTTGTGCCTGCCTTGGGCTCATTATGGGCCCAGCCAAACAAGGCCCAAGAAAAAAGTCTTGTATTTGCCCTTGGAACAAAAAAATATGCTCAATGCTGCCACCCGTGTAAACATGGGTCATAGGTGTGTTCAAATGCTGCCACCCTTACGAATCGACGCTGCATATGTATTGAAATACTGTCCGTCTGCTAAATGCGCGTTGTTATCGTCTCCACTGGGCATTCCTTTTCTCGGACGCAATCCATCTTCACCACTTGCTTGGGCCATGGATGCTATCGATGATCTCCCACCTTGGGCCTTTGATACTTTTCTCGTGGTCTGCTGGTCTATCAGCGGACCTGGGGTGCTCGAAACACAAACTATGGTCAGGTTCCTGTGAGTCTCCTAATGTTACTGTTGCTCGAAGTCTCCACTAGCGACAGGAATTCACCTCCCTCCCCAAAGCCATCTCTCCTCCTACTTGGCATCCTCCGCCCCCCCAAAAAGTGGCTCGCACCACCATCTGGCAACTTGAAATTGAATGTCGACGGTGCTTGGAATGTGGATAGGAGAATAGGTGGCTACGGCGGGGTTTTTCGCGATGATCGGTGCTGCTTTGTAGCGGAAAAATGTGGTCATTTCTTGAACGCTTTCTCTCCACTTCAGGCGGAAGCTTTGGCTTTTCCGTGAACTTCTGGTTTGGGCGTCAGTTAGGGGGTTTTCAAAATATCATATTTGAGTCAGATTCCCTCCGGATTGTGGAGGCTTTGAAGGATCCTTCCCCCAATCTGTCCTTAATTGGTCAGGTTGTCGAGGACATCATGGCCCTTCTCTCCTCAATCACTGGAGCTTCATCAACCCATGCTCGATGCCAATCCAATGGAGTTGCTCACCGGCTTGACCGTGTCGGCGTTACATCTAGTCAATCTAGTGAATGGTTGGTTACACCCCAAGTGTAATCGTTGATTTACTTGTCGAGGATATTGTATCGCCTTTATTGGCTTTTGTAACACTAAGGGGGCGTTTGTTGCGTCGGACTATCTCGGACTGGATTAGCTTCAAGGATTAAGTTGGATTGGCTTAGACTAGACTAAACTGGACTAACTTAGTGAAGCGTTTGGTGCAGTATTGGACTAAGAAGCTGGATAATAACAAATTCTAATATTATATTATTTAATATATAAATTATTAATATTTTATTATGATCTTATCTTTTTCTTCATCTTTTCCTACCATTTCCGTCCCACTCTCTTCCTCTTCTTTCATCATCCCACCCTCTCCCTCTTTTTTTCCTCTTAGACCTCTCAATTCATGTCTCTTTCTTATTCCTGGTCAAACTCCTTATTGATTCCAGTCTCTATTTCTCTGTCCTCCCTCCCTCTCTAGCTATGCGTTGTTCGAATGGAACCTCACGGCTCCAATTTTCCCGACGAGTTGCAGGTTTCCCGATGTGTTTTCCGGCCAACCCTCGTTAAATTGGATGAAGTTAGCACCGCCAAAAAATTCATCACCATCCCTAGACCGAGATCTTAGCTTTGAATGCTTGAATCTGTCATGGATTTGAAGAAGCCCAAACATGCCGAGACTTCCACGCCATTTTCCGGCCACATTCGACCACATTTTGGCCTCGATTCAGGAAAAATCGTAATCTTGTCACTCCCAGCTTCAATTTGGTATATTTTATATGAAAGTTGGTTGTGAAATGGATCTGAAAGAAAGTCGGAAAGTTAATGATTGATCTAGGTGACCGGAGATGATGAGGAGTCTATCGGGAGTGGTCATTGAGCATGACGAGGACGAGAAAGAGAGGATAGTCTTAGCTAGTCCCATGGTTATTGGGGGGTCTCGCTAAGACCTCTTAGTGAAGGGTTTTCTCCATGCTAGTCCCCTTTAGTCTCATTAATGTTAGTCCCAGCATGGAACAAACACAGTATTGGACTAATAGCTAGTCCAGTCCAGTCTAGTCCAACTTAGCGAGGGCAAACAAACGCCCCCTAATAGAACTTATCAATCCACTATCGTTACATTTACCAAAAAAAAAAAAAAACTCAAATACTTAGTTTAGTTTAAGTATGTTGTAAAATCGACGGTGTGTGCAATGAAATAAATGAAATAAGACTTAAAATTTATGAGGTTCCTCTACAGTCAATGTGACTGAAGTATATCCAGGTTCCTCTACAGTCAATGTGACTGAAGTATATCCTCGGAGTAGTAGTAATTCTTTCATTATAATTTAGAATAATAAAAGTACAAAATAACTCTCACTATTCTCTCTTCTCCTCTTCCCCTCTTTTTCTTTCCTCTTTCTTCTTTCACAATCTCTTCCGTGAACTTATCACCTTGGAGTTGTGTGGGGTTTGTATTTATATAGAAAATAAGCGTAGTGTGCAGCTAATTTAAGCGGACAATGGAAGGACAAGTTGCTCGTTATTTAATTTTTTGAGTGGACATCCACTGTTTTACAACAATGCACCAAATGTACACCATTATAGCCTGGTGCCTAGTGGGATTTGCCAACGTGGTATAAATAAATTAATAGTCAAGTTAAAAGTTTCACATTGAATGCTTCTTTGACAATTAGACGGGAATGATGGTGCAGTTTCCTAATTGCAGAGGGCATTAATAGCTCAAATTTCCTTGCTTTATCTGGATAACGACAATTAAAAAAAATGCAATTGGCTAAAATAATGCAAAACAAAAAAGTAGTGCTAAAATAATGTAATTTTCGATCGTTAGATCGAATAAATTAAAGAATATCAATGATAAAAAAAATTAACAAAAATATGTGGGAAGTAAAATTAAGTATATGAATAGTATTATCCAAACTAAATTTTAATTATCAAATTGATTAGACGTTTTTATACATTCTCTGAATCATCTTTATGGAATCACCATTATACCCACATATACCCTTTTTTTTAACATTAATTAATTCAGCACTTGTATTTTATAGAATCATTAGAACACCCAATTTGCCTAAAGAAAAAGAGGCGATCTAGCTTTTCAAAATTGTCCTCATTTGCTTGAATTGTTCATCATGGTTTCATAGAAGGAAAAAGACTCCAAAAGATATTGGCACTTAGCTTGCTTTTGATTTTAAGCTACCATTTTGGCCATCGTTGATTTCTAGATTAATTACAAAAAAACGAATCATCATGGATATTGCTTTAATTTGTGCCAAATGTGTGGCTCATTGGCTTTGCTTGCTCGCTTTGTTTTGTATAATTTTTTAATTTGTTTGACTTGAGGACGTTCCTGTTAGTGAATGCTCTCAATCAAAGTTCATGTCTTTCTCTCAGTTGTTATTTAAGTTTATCATTTAAATAAAGTTTTTTCTTGTACCATCGAGGCCTAAAAGATAAACCAAGTGACATGCGTCTTTGATTTTTTTCCTAGTGGAAAACTAGAGTGGCAGACATGCAATGATATACTTTATATACATAATTTTCACTCAGGTTTCACGTGGTGTTCTAGCTTCTACTTCTGTGTATGCTTTGCTAGTCAAAAACAGTTTTCCAGGAATATATAAGGTGAACTAGTTCTTTTTTTTAAAATTCAAGTATGATATTCATTTTATAAATGAAACACGTATAATTAGAGGAAAATGTGCTAATTAATTTAATTATAAGCTGTTAATTTCTTTCTTATTAGTATATTCAAAGCTGATAGTCTAAAACACTTAATTTTTCGTCAACTTAAGTCACGTGACTTGCATGTGAAACATTTTAGATGGTAATACTGTCATTTTCTCGCCTAAAAGCCTTTAAAGTTGCATATTTGGAATCTAATTTCTAATTTACCCTCCAAAATTCTCTGTACACTCTTTTTCGAAAAGTTAAGTCCTTAGACTCATGAAAAATTATCATCTACCCTCCAAAGTGTATCACGTGACTTAAATTGACGAAAATTTGAATAAAATAGCATCAAATCTAATATTAAGGATTTAATTGGCAACTTTTAACTTTAAGGACTGATTTTTCTGAAAAATAGTTTATAGACCTAATTTTCACTTAGATAATAATTCAAAGACTAAATTATCGCATTACTCATACATATATATACACACACACGGTGTGTGTATGCTAACCAGAGAACCCAGAAGCCATGCATAACATGCTAACAGAATTTAAGAAAGTCCATACATATGACCTGGATGCCTACTTACAGCCTGTACTCTTGGCTACTTGTAACTGCAAATTAAATTATTTAATTAGCTTCCTTCATGAGAAAGCATATCAAGATAATCTATGTGCTACCCCATTTGATAAGACTTTAACCAAGCATCTATTTAATAACTTAAACCCCATGTGGACAAAGTAACCTTTTTATCTACATCCTAGGCTCTAGACTCTACAAACTCTAGATGCAATGTCAGAAATATTTCAAACTTCTGTTAAACTCCCCATGCTAGACATTTCTCAGCCAGTATTGCACCCATCTTCTCTATCCTCTCTAGCTGAAGCCTTCAAAACGTGGGGCTTCTTCCACATCACCAATCATGGGATCTCCAAAGATCTTTTCAGAAAACTATATTCCCTGTCAAATGACCTGTTCAGCCTCCCTTCTAATACCAAACTCAAACTTGGTCCTTCCTCTTCTGCCAAAACTTATACCCCTCACTTCATAGCCTCTCCCTACTTTGAAAGTCTCAGAGTTTCTGGGCCCAATTTCTTTGATTCTGCTCAAAGTTCTGCACAAGTTCTCTTTGACCAACACAACTCTGAATTCAGGTATTATATCTGTAAAATATATATATATATACTGTATATATATACATGTATATGTTTATGTAAATAAATAAAGATGCTTCTATTTACCTTTTCTTTATGTATATTTTTCTCCATCCTAATAGTTTAAAGTGCTCACACCTTCATCTGAGGTCCTGTGTTTGATTTTCTCCTGCTTAATGTTGATTGTATCGAAAGAGAATTTTCCTGAGGTATATTTGCTTTTTGATTATTTGTTTCTTTCTACTAGTGAAATATTACAAGAATATGGGAGCAAGATGGCAGAACTATCGAAGAAGATCGTAAAGATTGCGCTGATGAGCTTGGGGGATGGATTGGAGAAGAAACAATACGAAACCGAATTCAAAAATTGCCATGGTTACTTGAGAGTGAACAACTACTCAACCCCTCCAGAAAGTTTGGAAGATCAACATCAAGAAGTTGAAGGACTTGGAATGCACACTGACATGAGCTGTGTGACAATTGTGTACCAAGAAGAAATCGGAGGGCTTCAAGTGAGATCAAAGGAGGGAAAGTGGATGGACATAACTCCATGTGAGGGGACCTTGGTGGTGAACATAGGAGACATGTTTCAAGCTTGGAGCAATGATAATTTGAGGTCATCAGAACATAGAGTCATTTTAAAGCAGCCAAAAAATCGGTTTTCTTTGGCCTTTTTTTGGAGTTTTGAGGATGAGAAGGTGATATTTGCACCAGAAGATGTGGTGGGAGAAGGGAATGAGAGGATTTACAAGCCATTTGTTTGCTTGGATTATTTGAAGTTCAGAGAGAGCAATGAGAGAGGGAAGTTCGAAAAAGTTGGGTTTACTGTGAGGGATTTTGCAGGGATCAAACACAAAATTACCAACTGTGAAAGTTAAAAAAGGAAAATTGAACTCTCTCTTGTAATTAGTGTATGTGATTAAATTTGTACGTGCCTGTGTGCTTGTGCTTGGGGAGCTTTGACTTGTCTATATAGTTGATAGGAGAAGGATTTACAGTTGGAAAGCTCAACTTCCAACTTATAAATAGTCCCTGTATTTATCAATATTGTCCTAAGATTATGGTCCTTATTATAAGCATGTATTCAATCCGACGATCGAAAATTGAAAAGTGTGTGGCAAAAGTAAGTTTCTAAAAAACGCTAGGTGTTAGTCAGACGGCATGCTGGGGCCTAGCGCCTAAGCGGACTAGCTTGATTTAAGTAAATCTATTATATTTCGTGTATATAAGTGTCTGTCTATACTTAAAATATATATAATTTCATCATAAACTACAAAATAGAATGATATATATATATAGATATGTTATGAAGTATTGAAACATAATAAAAACATGGGGAACAAGCATATAATGTGTGTTCATTTTAGTATACAACAAGTCCCTAATAATTTATTGTAAAAAATAAAATGCAAAATGAAAGTTATCTATTTTCTGTCTAAGTGAATTGCAACCTAGGCGGTTGCCTAGGCGGTCTAGGTGCCCTTTCTTAATTTTCAAACGCCTAGGTATTAATCAGGACAGTGGCTAGCCACCTAGCGCCGAACAGTAGAAAAAAGTAAAAATATGTGTGCATAACACCTCCCTATCTATTCAATTTGTTTGTTCATGTTTCACTTAATTCACATTCCTCTAACTTAGGAATAGTTCATGTCCCCTTTTTACCATTCTCGGTCTCTTTCTATCTCTCTTCTCAAGCTGTAAGTGGTAGTTTATTTGGAATAGAATTATCTCCCTTCCTATTTCCCTCCCCGCTTCTCCCATCTTTTCACATTTTTCATTTTGTCTTTCCCTCTCCATAAAAAATTAATATAAGATGTTGATGTGGCTTAATCGTGACCGTTCAAATAAGAGGGGAGGAATGGGAAAAAAAAAAAAAAAAAAAAAAAAAAGGAGAGAATCATACTTCAATTTCTTCTTTGTACCGCATTATATTTCTTTGAAGAAGTAATGAAAAAATTATTTAATTTGGATAAATGAAGATGGTGGCAACTTGGCATTATTGTTTGCCAATGCATTTCAAATGAAGTAATCCAACTCCAAGTTAAAATTTAGCCACATATTCAATGATGCAACCATTGAGCTGTAAGCCATACTTTGAAAAAGTCCCCCTTTTGTGCGGTGCTGATTAGGCCACAAAGTTTACTTAAGAAATCTAATTTATTGATAAATGAACACATTATCTTTAATTCTTTGTCTGGAAAATGAAGGAGATCCCAAAATTGCTACACATCATTCGCAAAAATTTTACGGTGCGTCGGAAGTGGAGAAAAACTTAACGTTGATTTGTTTTGAAACATTTACAGTGGCAGTAACAGAAGTAACAGAGAAAAACTTATTACTTCATTAAAATCACATCAGATACTAGACAAGTTACATTGGAATTTGGATGTTCCATTTGTCCATCACATTCCATGAACAAAGTTACTACTAGTGAAGCTTAGTATCCAATTACAAGGTCAAACAGTAAAAATAGGAATGCATGTTAGAAACCAGATCAAACTGCCCCAGTTACTGCTACAGATTTATCATCAAGTAGCTACATTACTCTCCCTGCCTACAGAAATCCTACAACTACAAGTTTATTAGCTTTCTCCAGCTTCTCAACACTTGCCGGCAATTTTCCAAAGCGCCTGCTTAATCATCCCCACTGGTGAGATCGCCGCTCCTCGAAACTGAAACCAATTCAGAAAGAGAACAGTTAATGTAGCAGCATCAGAATGTTTGGATATGAAAGCAAATCAACGTGAAGAATTAATGTTCAAATGGAGGACTTATGGATGTTGGATTGACTAATAATGTGAATGATTTGGGACGGGCATTTTAGATCAATGGATATGTTCTAGAGCCGGTTAGAATGCAACTACTAGTACCATTAAACATATTGTATTACGCCAGAAGGCTCAGAAGTACAAACCTTTGATTTAAGGTTCAACGTGAGAACACCGTCAAGGGTGGATGATTGGACAGAGTGTGCATCTAAGTACAGATTGTTAATGGCATCCATTATATCAAGCAAGATATATTCCCGGTAGGGGCATCTCATCCCTATCACAACCTCCTGCTCTTTTACACACACTTTCACATCTAGTGGCAAGCTTTCTCCGGGAACAAGCCTATTGAGATACGGGTCAGTTTCGTCGATGTCACAGGCCTTTCTCTTGTTTAATAAAGACCTTTTCACATTGTCCATCTTTGTTTTATCATAGTTGATTGATGTCTTCTCTACCCTGTTCAGGAATTTCATTCTAGCAATCGCTTCCACGGTGTCCATGGAGGATTCCATCTCTTCTGCTCGTGCCCCAAGCTCTTTCAAGTACTTGATCGTATCATCAAGGATCGAAGCTTTATCAACCTGAAACAAAAATCAGTAAATTCAAATTATGGAAAGTATGTCCTTGCTAAATAGTAAATAGTACATGACAGAACATGAAGATTTAAGTCAAAATAAATGTAAATATGGTTTTCAAAGTTACCTCAGTGATAGAAGGAACCATTGACCTGAGGACAAACAATTTTTCACTCTCTCTCATTTTATCATGTTCCCTGTGAATATCGTCACCTTGCAAATTCGGAAGCACATTTTTTCCCGTATTTTCTTTTCCGGTCGCCCTAGGAGAGCGAACACCAGACATTAAAGGAACTGTGAACAGAATCTTCTTTAATATCTTCTGATGTACTGTTGGCCTACAACCACCAACAACTCCTTTCTTCCATTTCATAAAACTGGATTTGCAATCTCCATCACAAAAACATGGATTTTCAATCAACTTCGTTGAGCTTGCCAGAAGAGCAGAAAGAGTTCTTTTGTAGTGTACATGTTCATCAACAGATCCGAGATCCAAGGAACTTAGCTTTGTGTCATTGAAGTTTTGAAGTTCCTTTACATTGACATGGTTCGCATTCTCGCATTTAGCAGAAGAGTGAGCCTTTCCTTGATTAACAAAAGCTTCAGATATGCAGTCACTAGAATTCATGGAATCTTGAACGCTGAAGTCTTCATCCATGAAATGCCAACTCTGAACCTGAGAAGCCGCATTGGTACCTTCAAGCATCATGGAGTCTTCTGTCTGATGATTGTGATCACAACCATTAGAACATCCATAAGGAGAGTCCATGTTGACCTCTTCATGGTTTCCATGTAAATCGTTAATTCCCCTGTGATGAAATTTGATTTCTTCCGAAGGGGAATATAGGTTCTCTAAATCCAATGTATCAACTACGTCATGGTCAACCTTGGCAACTATTTGCTCTGAATCATCGTCTGCTTTATGAGGGGCAGAGGAAGATTTCTCACAGCAATCGGGCTTTGAAAAATCTAGTAAGGAAGCCTTGATGTGTTGAATGAGATTAAGGTCCTCCATGACCTTTAGATATCACACAAGGAGAAGAATTACTTTAACGAAGACACAACTTAAGACTGTTAAAATAACTGGAAATTGAAAGTAATTTAACTAAAGAAGAGAAATCACCAGCTCAGTCACACCTAGCTCAACGACACCCCCCAGGTAGGGAAAGCAGACTACAGTCTGAAAGCAAAAGTGTCATCAATATCACACTGATGACGTCGTGAAGTAAACTAACAAATTAAACATAATGTAAAATGAACCAGAAGATGAATACCACAGAGGAATCACTATACCTGAACAGATGCACTCTGTGAGCAACCGTTGATATCCATCCATAGAAAAACAAGTGAACAGAGAAAACAATAGCAGTCAGTCCACTTTCCGGCTCTTAATATTAGACAATCATAGGAGCTGAAATTAGCAGTAACTTTAAACAAATCACAGCCAAGAAAAACCAACCTTCGCCAGCAAAGAGCGAGAGAAAACTTTACTATCCGCATGTTGAGCATTGCACAACCAAATGGTCTGCCCAGTTGCCAATGCTCTTCCTGGCAAACTATACAGAATGTGGAGAACTAAGTTACAAAATCATAATATGGAACATATAAGCTGACATGAAATCTAAAAGCGAAAGAAAGGAAAACACATAAATACATGCAAAGAGAAACATTAAGCAACAATGGAAAATTTTTAAACCAGTTGAAGAGATCAGTACAGTACCCTTCGCCAGGATTGAATACGAAGGACATGCAAAGCAAGTAATACCACTCGGCATCTGTGAGATCTTCCGGGGACAATGCAGCAGAAGGTGCCTTAGCTTGCTGCTCAGCCTCAGTCTCACCGTCTAGAAGAGACTTATACAGCTCTCTGAGTTGCACATTCCTCTGTAAACCCATTTTATCGGTTTTAATTTCCATGCCTTCAACTGTTTTTCGGGTTTTGATGTCTCCATTGTAGTACCCTTCACCCCATTCCAGCACCCTACAAAATAGTGATCATAATTTACAGCTAAACACAAATTATCCTGAGCAACAATAACTGATACCCACCTAAGAAACCAAAAACATGGGTTGAAATTTGTTGAATTCCTAGCCAAGTAGGCAAGTACTTTACCCTGTAAAGAGGACATTTTCACTTTTCAAACTACCATTTACCAGTTTTCCTTCCAAATTAATTTTATTCTTTCGCTTTCAAAGGGATTTAAGCTCAAATGCAGGACCTGAAATTCGCTTTACCGGAGCGTTTAAGTACTTAAACAACATGAGATCCATATTAATCTCATCCATTTTTGTACTGCAGAACAACTCCATTTCCAGTACAGAAAAAACTAGTATACCCCATTTAGCCTAGGTCTCACTAGAAAGGGAAGTTGGTATATCTTGGACTCAAAAACTTTTCCCATAAAATGTACAAACAGATAGCATTCATCCAAATACTTAATTTAAGCACCATAAACATCCCCACACAGAAATATCAGAAAACAAGACAAACTGAAAATTGTTCACCAAAGAAACTAAATTAAAATTAATATTAAAAAAGCATATTACCCTTGTTGTGTAGTTGACAAGGACCAGAAAATTGCATAGCTCCACTTAATACTCCTCACAGCAACAGCAAACTGTTTTCTCAGATTCTCTGGCACCCTCTCATGGTTCTGAGCCATATTTTCCTACAAATGTAATTCAACTTACACAAGGAAAAAAACCCACCAAGCTCATCAGCCAAGAGAAAAGAAAACTTGGGTTTTTATTCTGGAATTTGGTTTTAGCTGAATGCCATTAGTGATTTCTGCAGAAAACCCATGAATTATATCAGAGTTTTGGGGGGGGATTTCAGTGAAGTATGGCATATATTTCAGAGTTCTTTGGAGGCCAGAAAACCAGAAGGCTACAAAATTTAGGTTTGGAGTTTATCTTGGTTCTATACTCTACAAGAAAACTGTGAAGTATGACTTTTTGTGGTGGTGGTAAAGCCAATGACTGGACTGGCAATGGAATGAAAGTGTGTTGGATTAAGTAATTTATATTCCTGTGAAACAAAAGGAGTAATTTACTTGGTTCCAAACCCAATGTTGGACTTAACTTCTTAATGAGGCTTCTGTATTTAGAAACTATATATTTTTATTTGTCCTATCAGCATTCTACAGTATCTATACTATTTATTTATTAATAGAACATTTTCTTGTTAATTAAAACTCTACTAAATTACCACTACCAAACAAAAACAAAAATCAGAGACAATTTAGTAATTACATACAACATGAATTTTGTTGTTTTCTACTTCACCCCCACAGTTATGTAAACATAACAGGTCGTATTCATAAATTTAAAAAATAAGTCAATTTATTTTACCTCCCTCAAGCACACCCGTAAGGGTGCGTACCATTTGCTAGTATTTATTAAAGACAAGGTTCGTTGGAAAATATACTATTTTAGTTATACAATTGAATTTGAATACATATGAGAGAATACATTGTTTTAACAAACTTAGCTAAGCTTAAGTTTGGAAAAAAAAATTATGTTTTATTTCTTTTTTATAGCGCTGAATTTTAAAGCTTTTAGAAAAACCAAATTTGTGGAGAAGAGATTTTGAATTTGGGTGAACAAGTGATCAATTGGACCTACCTAATCAATTGGACCTACCGACGTCTACATACGTTCTTGAGTTCGCGAGTTTAATACAAGCATAATTCAAAAATTCGAGGCTGCATTATGTCAATGTCAATGTGCCCCGCGATGGTCGTGATGGTGTTGTAACATGAAAAGCAATTTTATATGCTATCATCATGTTTATGACACGTAATAAATCATGTGGTGGCTTGAGATTACTTTTGTAAAAGGTGTTCATCAACTAGAAGTGTTTTATTGGAAATTATGTTAAATAATTTATTAAAGTATTAATTGCTTTATGTGGTCTTTTATGATTTAGAAGCATTTTTAAATTATTTTGTCAGAGTTCCAATTATTTTAAGTTGTCACATATCAAAGAATGCATTGTTCTTAAGTGAGCTAGAACGATAATTCAAGGCTTCATTTGGTGTATAATATTGAATTAAATTAGATTAATAACTCACTGTATACAACTTTCAAACTTTGTTTGATTTAAAGGTAGAAGATAGATTTATCATAAACAAAACGTATCCCTCTCAACCCTATCATTTTTGTAAAGAGAAATGATAGAGTTTGATCGTCTAATTTGTTTTCAACTTACAACTTGAACAAAAATTTAAAATTTGACCTTCATTTCCTAATTAGCTTACATTGAATCTCGTTAATCATCTTGTTAATCTAGTCATAAACAAAAGGCAAGGCCTTAGTGGTAAGAAATTATATTCCAACTAATACTGGAGAAGTTCGTTTGTTTATATTTCGTTCTAGAATGAACCACTAAAATTTGATGCAAATAACAAAAGATGATGAATGAGTTAAGATCATGATATGTTGAGAGTTTAGATTCCTCAAACAATAACAAGAAAATTATTTGAGTAAGTATGTAAATATACAAAAGAAGTAGAGTAAATTGGATTCTCTTTCCACATATTCTCATCATTTCCTCTCATTTTTATGTTATTGTCCTTATAAAAAAATTCAATATAATATTAATGTAATTTACTCTTAAACTTTCAAATAAAAAAGTCAAAAAAAAAAAAAAGGGTGAGCAGAGAATTCTCGTCCCACGAGTTTTAGGCCACACAGAGGCCTATTTAATGTTTGAGTTACTCCTTTCGGACCGACCATAGGCCGATAGTGATCAATGATGAATGTTGGCAATCAGATAGACTGTGCACTTGCACCGATACACGTGATCAAAATTACATTCTACTGGTTTTTGTGTCAGTCCAGATTTATAGCTAATTATTTCAAACGGGCGTGGTTGTGATGATGCCATGCGCACTTCTTCAGTTCTTCTTATACATTATGAAAATTAATGTACACATGACGTGGCTACATACTAATATTTTATAAATAATATTAGATAGATTAAATTTTTAATCAAATTTACATACAAAATAATGAACCAGCTTCCTCGCCGGATTCATTTCCTAGGGATCCTAAAGATCACGCAATCGTGTCCGTTTATCATATATCGTGCGATCAGTTTTCGTTAAGTACAATTTATATTTGAATTTTAAAATTTAAATTTTAAATGATTTCTGACCGCACGATATACAGTGAACGAACACGATTGCGTGATCTCTAGGATCCCTAGGGAATGGATCCGGCGAGGATCCTGGTTCCAAAATAATATGTTACTAATAAAAAATAAATATATTAATCAACATTTAAATAATAATATAATCATCAACAATCACATAATTCAATTTATAAAATTTAATTTAAAATTTTAATCTCCTTAGCATTACCAATGACTTATTGTATTTAAAGAGATAGTTAAAAGATAGGAAGGCCAAGAGGCTATACAACAAGCATTTTTGATAGTCTAAAATGTAGCCCGTTCGAGGGTTACAAGTAGCCAGCCAACTAGGATATAGCTCGGTTACTGGAGAAGGACATTGCACACATTCGGGCTACAAGTGGCATATATTCCTTACATCATCTTTAAAGGAAATGTCAAATTTTAAACATAAAATTTAAATTTTGACAGCTTATGTGGTATTTGACATTTTTAAAGTTTTGTTCTCCAATCGATATATCAAATTAAATTATTATTTTATAAAATAAATTATTAAACTAATTAAAATTTAATAAAGGACATTTAAAGTTTAATCAGTAATCTATTCATCTTTGAAAACAAGAAAAAAGTATGATAATTGCATTGGTCAACTCAACATTAATTATAATAAATGATTAAACTAATTAAAAATTAATAAAATACATTTAATAATTAATATAAAAAAACATTTGAAGCTGCTGTCAAATTTGATAGCAACCTCTTTTGCTGCTAATCCATGTCATCGCCACATAGGATTTGACACTTCGGTTGGAGAATATTAGTGTAATTTTTTTTAACTGCTATAACTGATGTGTACATTTTAACATTTACTTTGGAGATGCTCTTAGTTGTAGGTAGACTCACAATGTGAAGCCATGAGACTTTTGAGCAGCTATGTTAGAATTTTCTTCTCTTGCTTACCCTAAACACTCTTTATATGGACGGAAGTTTTAACGGCGTTGCCCAAAAATACCAATTGTCTACATTGTGACAAGGTTAAAGACCAAAATTCATGAATTTTTAATTTAAGGATAAAAGTGTAAATTTGGCCAAAGTGTACAAACTAATATTCCAATTTTCTCTAATTTGGATTATATCATAATATTGTTGGAGTAAAAAAACTCAAATTTATTTTTGTGGGTAAAAAGAGTTTATTTATTTACAAGCAACGATATATTGATATTTCATGAATAATCCTAAACAATACATAGGTGCAATTGGGGTACAATACTTTAGTGATCAAGAAAATTATATGGAGTAAATTTGCCCAAACAAAACAACAAAGTAAAACCTTAAACGGTTACCACATGTACCAAAACTTCATCATCACCCATACGAATCTGTAACAAAACGATAGATATAACAAATTTGTATCGACGCTTGCAAAAGGTCACTGTCGAATAGCGAGGCTACATAAAGTTATCGCATAAACGAGACCACATAAAGTCATCGTAAGTAGATGAGACCATATAACACATTGCTCAACGCGAAAACCATATCCAGCCATTGTTGTAGCGCGGCCACAACACTCTGTAGGCAAGTTTATCCTCACAGTACAACAGAAGCAATTTAAAAAAAAAAAAAAAAAACACACACACACACACAATACCAAACTAGTCCTTAGAGTGCTCCCAAAAATTGCTCTTTATCCCGCCAATACTACACTAGGTAACCCAGATCTTGACCTCTAATATATTTGCTATCTTCCACCACACCCATATGCATTATATATGCACCCACCCACATCTTTGGCTCTTTTCTTTGTACTAATGTATGTCCACCTCGACCGAACCCACCACCATCATTTCATCAAACTCACCACAAACTCAAAAAAAGAAAAAGAATAGCTAGACAATCCATGAATCCAAACTTTAGAGCATATTTTATATCCCAATTTAAAAACCACTAGCGAGTTGTCACTTGAGTTTGTATATGTTTGTCCACTACTACATGATATAAATTATGACATTAAAGTTAGAGGGCAGCTATAATTTAATATCCAGTGTCGACTAGTACATAGATTCGTGTTTAATGTTGTCCTTCCACATTTCTGGTTTGTAGGTTTTGATTGGTGTTGCATGGTACGAAATTCAACCACAAGGGGAAAGCTACAGATCACTGAAATTAATGTTGCTTCTGGTTTTAATAAATTACTGCTGTCAAAAGTGTAAATTATGAAGCTTATGACGACCAATAAAATGGCATAAGGAATTGATATGTCCTTGCTTGATTAGGGTTTCTCTCTCTTGAAAAACATAAATTCGGTTGCATGATATGTCGCTGTTCTTGTCAAAATTTGATACATATACAATTATAGAGAGGCAATTCGTACTCGAGCGTAGAGAAAAAAAAATAGCGGCAAGTTGAATTTTTCATATTCTTAAGCTTTGCAAACTTGGACATAGCCCAATTGGAGTCTCTTGTAGTTTAGTTTAGATTACATTTTAATATACAACATTTTTTTTACTTTTAACTTATAAAGCTAAATACATGTGCATGACATATAAATAGAGAGGATCCTTTTCGGTGAGACCGTTTACTGCCATGTTTTATAACTAATTCACTCATGTATTATTGCATGTGTAGATTTCTTATTAGTGCTAAAAAACTTCTACCGCCTCTTTATTCATTGTTCGAAGGAGAATAATATTGTTGAATGTTGTTGATTGTCCCGATAAAAGTGACTCTAAACTCTAATTTCTTATTGTGATCAGAATACGATGGTACATCACATGTTTTTATATAAATAGTGAAAAATTTTACTTTTTAAGTTATTAAAATTTTAACACATATATCATACAATTTGTATAATGACACATGATGTACCATTCCGT